ACTGTCTAAGCTTCTCTGAAAGTATCAAAAAGGTTGGCAACCTGGGCAAAGGAAATGTTTCTTTGGACTGACCTTCTGAATGCCCACAGACTGCCGGACTTGCAGCTTTCTTTTCCTCTGAAAAGTGTCGAGATCCCAAAGCTGGGCTGTGTCGGTAGACGACGTGATGGCATATCTACCGGAACCATGAACGGAGATGGAGGACACCGAAGATTCATGTCCTCTCATCCAACTAACAAGTTCTTTGGTATCTAAGGAAAGAAGAAGAGCAAAGAGATAACACCGTGGTGGGACCTTCTAGCACACAGTCTAATTCAAGCTTCTGGGGGAAGTCTCAGCGGTGTCCGTTGCAAACAGGGGAAGCCATATGAGAGTTGACTCTGGCAGAGACAGCGTTTCCACCCAGATTCACTTCCAGCCTGAAAGGTAAATCACCTGTCAGATGATAAGCGGGTGCCCCCCCCCCCCCGGTGTCAAAAACGACCAGTGGAAATACTATCATAGCACATATTTTGTTATGTTCTTTATCTTCGGCTTATTAATAAAAATGTGTTGTTGTTTTAAAAAGGAGAGCAGTGGAGGTTGGGTCAGTTCTGGATCCTACCCTCAGGATGAAAAGGGTTCCGTACTCCTGGTTTGATCAAAGATAATAATACTCCAGTTCTGAGGTTTCTAAACTAGTCCATGGACCTCCAGTGGTCTACGAGGGTCATTCTGGGAGTCCATGGTGTATTAGAGGATTTGTGACTGAAGACAAAAGATGGGACACCTCTTGCATTAAACATTAATATTGCTTTTAAACTGCTGTATGATTGTTGTTTTTAAAATAAAACAACTAAAAATCACACAGCATCTAGATCACCACATTACAACTGCTACAACAGGCAGAAAAGCCATTAAGTGGTCCACCAAGATCCTCAACAATTTACAAGTGTTTTGAATTTTCGGTGAGAAAAAGAAGTTGAAAACCGCAGCTCTAGTTTTATCATCACACACATGAGATGAAATAGACACTGAGAAGCAGTCACATATAAGGAACACAGGTTTTGATAACCGTGCTCAGTACCTGTATCGAAGCATTTAATGGAATAATCAGCCAAAGCCACAAGGAATTCTGTTTTCCTGCGGAGATTAAACGCCAGAGCAGTACAAGCTTGCATTGTTCGTTGCACCAGTTTGAACCTATTTGTACAAATCAAAATTATTACTTCAGAGGACAAGGAAAACTCATTGCAGCCATAAATCAAATACAGCCTTTGTGATTATATCACAGGCTATATAGTAGCCAAAATAACAGTTGTTAAAATCAACCAAAGTTTGTGAGGTTGAAACAACACAATAAACCATGGTTAGCAAAAACCAGAAGCAAAAGCTTCCAAACTGCTATTTGCGCCTGTTCTTGGCAACAGGGTGGGCAGTGTTTGAGATAAGGCTTCCTTAGGCTTGCTTTTGCAATACTAAACTATGTTTTAGAGTTACGGAGAAATCAGCCCAGTTTTCTGAGTATATAAACAACTGGATAGGAACTTACTAGGGCCAGGAGGGGTAATCTAGAAAGAGCTCACCTCACTACTTCATGCTTAAAACTGTGCTAGTGTATGTATCCCTCTACTGACCCACGGTTTATATATTTTTAATCAGCACATCAAAAGATCAGAGACAAAGAAGCAGCACTTGCCTGTTGCCCACCAAGTCAAAAACATAGATATTCCCTTGATGATCTCCAGAAAGCAGTGCATCTCCGGAACTGTCAAAAGCCACATTCAAAAAGCGAATGGTCTTGGAATGATAGCCTGTGGCACTGTGAATAATATTTACGATGACTCTGAAAACAAGAAGGTGTCAACAGCATGGTGTTATGAAGTGGTGAGAGCACCTTCCCCTACCCTGCTTTTTAAGATGCTGTCTAGGTTTGTCATCGCTTTTCTCCCAAGAAGCAGGCGTCTTTTAATTTCGTCACCATCTGCAGTGATCATGGAGCCCAAGAAAGTAAAATCTCTCACTGCCTCCATTTCTTCCCCTTCTATTTGCCAGGAGGTGATGGGCCTAGTGGCCATGATCTTAGTTTTTTGGAAATCAAAAAAATGTGTATAAGATGTCAATACAGTGGTACCTCGGGTTAAGTACTTAATTCGTTCTGGAGGTCCGTTCTTAACCTGAAACTGTTCTTAACCTGAAGCACCACTTTAGCTAATGGAGCCTCCTGCTGCCGCTGTGCCACCAGAGGCCAATTTCTGTTCTCATCCTGAAGCAAAGTTCTTAACCCGAGGTACTATTTCTGGGTTAGCAGAGTCTGTAACCTGAAGCGTATGTAACCTGAGGTACCACTGTATATGTTTTATCACTGTGGAAAATGATATGCTGAAAATTAATAAAAAATTATTTTAAAAAAGAAGGAAAGGCCAATTCAGTACCCGCAAGGGTAGCCTGTTCCTGGACATGGGAGCTCCACTGATGACACCCAAGGACAGTGTCCCCCCCCCCAGCCCGTTTCCCCGCACGGTTTACCCCTGCTGCGTGGCCGGGGAGGGCTTGCGGTGCCAAATCTTGCCCTCCTCCCGGCTCCCCAGGTCCGAGCTCTGCATCCTGACGGGGAACTGAGGCGAAGCCGCCGCCGCCTCCCGCTCGAAAAGGTTCCAACCGCCCTGGCCCCGCCCCGCGCCAACCGCCGCTCGCCTTCCGTGGCCCCGCCTACTTCGGAAGGCACCAAAATCCCGCCGCGGGGGGGTTTAGGCCTCCCTCCCCTTCTTTGAGGGTTCCCGAACGCCAAAAGGCAGAGGCTTCTATCTCTCTCTCTCTCTCTCTCCCCTCCGCTTTCTTCTCAGGATGGGCCAATCCACCCCGTTGCATGCCGGGAGTTGTGGTTTCTTTTCCCACCCGCACAGGTGGAAATTGGGCTTGGGAGGCGATGGGAGAAGGCGGGCCGGTTCAGGTGTTAACGGCCAAGGCTGTGGGGTTAGATTCAGGAGGCTTTAAAGTTTGTTTTTATTCTTTAGCTGCAAGGTTGTCTTGGGTTCTCATTCTTCCTCCTCCTTGTGGTCGAAACCGATTTAAATGTATGCATTCTGCGTTTATATATTCTGATTTTATCCTGTGAACCGCCTGGAGAGCTGCAGGTGTATGGCGGTGTATAAATTTTTTAAATGATAATAATAATAATATCACTTGTTAATATGTATAGAATGATTTCACAAAGTTAAGTTAAGCTAAGCAGATATATAAGGCTGAATGTTTCATTATTGAGATACAAGAATACAATCTCAGTAATAAAGTTATAAAAAAATAATAAGGAAGTCACGCATGGGTGGAGGGAAGACACAGGGCAAGAAATGAAATGTGAAAATGTGAATTTACGAATATAATGTATATGTATCATTATGTAAAGATTTCATATATGTATTGCAACATAAACAAACAAACATAGCTGTCAACTTTCAGATTTGAAAATAAGGGATCAGCAGCCTCACCTGTCCCGGGGACAGTCTACGGGATATCTAACAATCCGGGATCGCAGCGGGAAATGGCGCTGGAATAAGGGAATTTCCCGCAAAAAAGGGAAGGCTGACAGCTATGATAATAATATCACTTGTTTTAAAAATAAACCGCCCACCGTAATTAGAAGGCATTCCATGGTGCAAGAATAATCGATCAGAAGGGATTCCGCGGTCATCAAGTCCAACCCCCCTGCAATCCAGGAATATCATCGAATGCATACATGACTGATGGCCATGCAACCTCTGCTTAAAATTATTTTTATTTATTAAATCTGTATACCACCCTTCATCCAAAGATCTCTGGGAGGTTCACAGCATAAAGAATACAAAACAAAAACACAAAATGCATAACGAGACCAAGAACAAACCAATCCGATAACCCTCCCTCCAAGCGAGGAGAGTCCACAATCTCTCTTGGAAGTCTGTTCATGTGCCTTTTAAAAAAATGCATTGTGGTAGGTAGACATTCAAGAGGGGCAGCTTCCCAGTACCCACGCAGGGGTAGAGATTTGCTAGGCTTGCCACACGTTACGAAAAATCCTGACATGTCATGGCTTTCGGGTGTAAAAATGGGGTCAGGGAAATGTTGCGGAATCGGAAAAATGTCAGGGAAAACTCAAGATGTATTACAATGTGGTGGAAAAAGCAGAGGAAACAGCTCCAGAAGCTTAAAACCACTATTTGTAGCTGAGGTTTTCCCCCAAAAGTTCAACAACGCTGGTGGTTTCCTTAAAAAAGGTCAACTCTGCGGGTGTCAGGAATTACACTTTTTGAAGTATGGCAACCCTAGATTTACGGTTAAGTGTCATGTAAGCTCTGGATAACACACACACACACACACACAAATATGTATATACACACATATATACACCCACACACCATATGTGTGCATATATATATATGCACGCGCGCGTGCACCCCCCTCAAAATGTTTTAAATATTTATATTCATCCAGATCGGCTTAGAGAGAGAAAAAGTAATGCACTACAATTAAAGTGTCACACACCCATCTGATACTAATTACAGGTAGGTAGCCGTGTTGGTCTGCCGTAGTCGAAACAAAATAAAATAAAATAAAATAAAAAAATCCTTCCAGTAACATGCACACGAAAGTTCATACCAATAACTAACCTAGTTGGTCTCTACGGTGCTACGGAAAGGAATTTTTTTAAAAAAAATTATTTTGTTCCCTCTGATACTAGTAAGCCAGTCTGGGAAATTATAATCTTGAAATTGGCATTTAAATAAAGCGCACTTATTGAACATTCGTGCCGCGGCTTGCAGCAAACAGGGGTGACTTGGGATCAGGATAAACAGTTAAAAAAACAAATTCAAGCCTCTGTATGTTCACTTCCGCGTTTCTATATTTCCCCCCCAACACGCTCCCACGTGTATTGGTAAACAGGGGTGAGAAACGGCGCCCGCTGTCCCTTTAAGAGCCGGAACTTCCGGCGACGCTCCTTCCGCCCCCCCCCTCCTCAGAGAGAGAAAAAGGCGGAAACCGGAAGCGGCCGTTGCTCGGCCGAATTCGGCGCGGCCACGTCGGAGGAAGGCGGGCCCCTCCCACCGCCCCACCTCCCGCGGCTTGGCTGTCATAGGAGCAACTCCGGCGAGCGCGTCGGGCAGCGGAAGGCCCCAGACGCCCAGGCCTCGCAGCGGCTAGACCGGCGGCGGAGGGGAGATGTCGGACCTCGGGGAATGGTTCCGGAGCATCCCGCTCATCACCCGCTACTGGTTCGCCGGCGCCATCGCGGTCCCCCTCGTCGGCAAGCTAGGCCTCATCAGCCCCTTCTACCTCTTCCTGTGGCCCGAGGCCTTCATCAACCGCTTCCAGGTAAGCGAGTGGGCGGACTGCAACTCCCGGCATGCTCGGCGCGAGCCTGGCGCTTCAGAATCACCCGCGGCGCTGCGCTGTGCATGCCGGGAGTTGTAGTTGTTGGGAGACGGCGTGGGGCTCGGCAGCGCTGGTTGTCAATGGATCGCAGGGAGTTGGAAGGGGACCCCCAGGGCTCATCTAGCCCAGCCCCCTCCCAGCGATGCAGGACAGCTGCCTACCGCCGTCCCTGGGTGGGCTCGAACCAGCGACTTTCTGGTTGACAGCCAGGCGCACTGACCCCTTGTGCCACCCGAGGGAGCCACGCGGGAAGTGTCAGTGCTGTGTCATGGCCACTTGTTGCGGGGATGGGACACCACTTGTTAGGGGTTTCTTCATTCGGTTGCTCCCTCCCTTCTTAAACGGGAATGGGTGAGGAGCTGTGAAAAGGTGCCTTGTTTTGAGCCCAGGAGTTCCTGCCTCTTTTCTGAAAGCAAAGCACACTACCACGGTTTAGTGGGGAATGTTTAGGTCTTTACCATCACGGGTTCAAATTCCCACAGTAAGGCCTGAAACTCATTCGCCGCATCTGGAAGCTTGAACATCATCAATAACTCAAAATCAAACATTGTTACAGTGGTACATCGGGTTACATACGCTTCAGGTTACAGACTCCGCTAACTCAGAAATAGTACCTCGGGTTAAGAATTTGCTTCAGGATGAGAACAGAAATTGTGCAGTGGCAGCGCGGTGGCAGCAGGAGGCCCCATTAGCTAAAGTGGTGCTTCAGGTTAAGAACAGTTTCAGTTTAAGAACAGACCTCCGGAACAAATTAAGTACTTAACCCGAGGTACCACTGTACTTTGTGTGCAGCCACTTTACCCCCTTTTTTGTGCAGATGAGTGAACAATACAGTATATGAAGCCAAGAGTTTAGTGTCAGCATCTTGGTTTGATCAGAAACCATTATGCTTAATCATTTTCTAGTTTGGATATAATAAGGAACTATGACGGAAGGCTTTCTGGTTTGTTTGTTTGTTTGTTTGTTTGGTTATTGTTTTTTGCTTCCAAGATGGTAGGAGTAAAGCAGGCATGTGATGCTTGTTCATGGGCACAGCGCTTGCTCTACAAGTGAGGGGGAGCCTGGGCTAACAAAGTCCCTTTGCCCTAGTATTGAAATGTCAAGGTAACAGTTCCATTAATAGGGTGAGGAGGCCAGGGCAGAATAGGTTTCCATCTGGACCTTGCTAGGCCTACAGGATCGCCATCTTAAAGCAGCCATAAACAGAACACCTTCAAGGTGGTGTTCTCTGAAATGTTACCCACCCTACATACATGGCCAGCTAAACGTTCTCAATGTGTTTGTGAGACAAGGATCTGGATTTGTTAGGCACTGAGGAAACATTATAGAACTATCTAGGCTTCTATGAAAGGGACAGGCTTCATTGAACCAGGGAAGAACTTGGTTCTTAAAATTAGCGTTGTAACAGAGCAGCTTTTAAGTTGGTCACTGGAGGAACAGCTGGTTTGGAATATGAGAGGATGAACATGTTGTATCGTGCAAGGGGGACATTATAGGAATTCAAAGAGGCCAAAGTAAAGTAGGATAAAATGCATGTGCCAGATACGTTTGGAAACAGAGATCACAAATAGACGTTCATTTGTTAATTATAGAAGCCTCCAAGCCAGAATGGATGCGCTGGAATGCTTGGTTTTAAAAGAGAGAATATATGTATTGGGCATAGTGGGCAATGGTAGCACACAGTTGTCTCCACATCTGGACTCTATAGGAAGGGCAGAGAAGGGTGTTCTGGAGGTGGTGTTGCTCTGCATGTCAAAGAGGACACAGAGTCCCATGAGATGGAAATCCCAAAAGGGGCAGACTCCACCACAGAATTGTTAGGTGGTGATATTGGACCCCAAGAGTAATTTAGTACTGGGGACCTGCTATCATCCCCCTGATCAAAATGCTCAGGAAGATCTTGAGAAGAGAAGGAGCTCAAGGAGGCATCCAAAAGAAGGAATGTCATAGACAGGATAACAACAGGAAAACCCCCAGAAACCCAGAGGACAAAAGTCAGAGATTGATGTGCATTATAATGAGTGAAATACGTATTTGATCCCTTATCAACCAGCCAGATGTCAGGCTACCTGGCATCTTCACTGTATGTAACAAGCTGAGATTAGAAGCACCTGCTATAAGCGAGAGATATTACCTGTAATCCCAGCTCGTTACAGTACCTGTACAAAAGACACCTGTCGACAGAAGCAATCAATCCAGCAGATTCCAAAGTAGCCACCATGACCAAGACCAAAGAGCTGTCCAAGGGGGAACTTGTCAATGATCTCAGGGCAGCTGGGACCATACTCACCATGAAAACAGTTGGTAACACTCTAAGCTTTGAAGGACTGAGATTTTGCAGAGCCCGCAAGGTCCCCTTGCTCAAGACAGCACATGTACAGGCCCGTCTGCAGTTTGCCAATGCACATCTGAATCACCCAGAGGAGAACTGGGTGAAAGTGTTGTGGTCAGATGGGACCAAAATCAAGCGCTTTGGCATCAACTCAACTCGCTGTGTTTGGAGGAGGAGGAATGCTGCCTACGACCCCAAGAACACCACCCCCACCGTCAAATATGGAGGGGCACATATTATGCTTTGGGGGTGTTTTTCTGCTAAGGGGACAGGACACCTTCACCGCATCGAAGGGACAATGGACGGGACCATGTATCGTCAAATTTTGGGTGAGCACCTCCTTCCCTCAGCCAGGGCATTGAAAATGGGTCGAGGATGGGTATTCCATCATGACAATGACCCAAAACACACGGCCAAGGCATCAAAAGAGTGGCTCAAGAAGAAGCACATTAAGGTCTTGGAGTGGCCTAGCCAGTCTCCAGATCTTAATCCCATCGAAAATCTGTGGAGGGAGCTGAATGTTCGAGTAGCTACACATCAGCCTCAAAATCTTACTGACTAGGAGAGGATCTGCAAAGAGGAGTGGGACAAAATACCTCCTGAGACGTGTGCAAACCTGGTGGCCACCTACAGGAAACGTCTGACCTCTGTAATTGCCAACAAGGGCTTTGCCACCAAGTACTAAGTCATCTTTTGCAAAGGGATCAAATACTTATTTCACTCATTATAATGCACATCAATCTCTGACTTTTGTCTTCTGGGTTTCTGGGGTTTTTCCTGTTGTTATTCGGTCTCTCACAGCTACAATAAACCTACCATTGAAATTATGGACTGGTCATTTCTTCGTCAGAGGGCAAACGGGCAAATTTAGCAGGAGATCAAATACTTTCCCCCCTCACTGTAAGTGGATGACTTCTTTCTGTGTCAGAAATGCAAGCATGGTCAGCCCCTTGTGGCAAGGCTATTTTTTGTGGCGGCTGCTGCTACTCAGAGTTAGCAGGGCTGGAAATGTCATAGGCAGGGAGTTCGCTAGAACAGGTGGAGATGTGGTCTATTTTTTGTGTAAAGACAGGCGATGCTTGTGCAAATCCTACAATATAGCATTGGGGACGTAGCTACCTACTGCTTCGAGATTTTTGAAATATTAAGTGTTATTTAAATGCTGTTATATATATGAAATAAACCACCCTCATAGAAATACATTACAGTGGTGCCTCGGGTTAAGAACTTAATTCGTTCTGGAGGTCTGTTCTTAACCTGAAACTGTTCTTAACCTGAAGCACCACTTTAGCTAATGGGGCCTCCTGCTGCCGCTGCACCACCAGAGCACGATTTCTGTTCTCACCCTGAAGCAAAGTTCTTAACCCTAGGTAATATTTATGGGTTAGCAGAGTCTGTAACCTGAAGCGTATGTAACCCGAGGTACCACTGTACTTCATTTCTATAGCATGTATAAATTTGGGTCCTCCAAGGAGAAGTTACTTGTGTACTGCCATTCTCTTGGATCAGAGCTTTCCAAACTTTTCATCTCGCTGACATACTTTTTAGACGTGCATCATTTTGCGACACAGTAATTCAGTTTTACAAGCAAGCTGGAGGTTTAACTAACCCCTTTCCAGCCGCAGGAGGAGCATGGGGAGCATTCGCACAACACATGTACAAACTGCAGCCGACATACTAACATGTCGCAGCACACAGTTTGGAAAGCTCTTGTCTTAAATGATTGTTACTCTGACTTCACTCCCCTACATTTCTCTCCCATCTGTGTATATGCTAGTCAAGTGAGTCTTGCATGCCATGCATCATGTGGAGTTGATAAGCTTATGCCATAATAAATTTGTCAGTAGTTAAGGTGCCACAAGACTCTCTGTTGTTTCACTGTAATAAACCTCTGAATTCATACTCTCTCTTTAAAACATTTGAACAGATCTGGAGGCCAATCACAGCAACCTTCTATTTTCCGGTCGGCCCAGGAACGGGGTTTCTTTACCTGGTGAACTTATATTTTTTGTATCAGTATTCATCACGATTAGAAACAGGTAATGTAACATCGAATATATAACATACTATTTAGTTTTCACATTCAGTGGCACTAGTTACTTTCCATTTTCTTTTATATCCTTCTGGGTCCATCTTGTGGAGATAGATGCTAATTCGGATGCATATAGGAGAACATAAGAAGCTGCCCTATACTGAGTCAAGGCCTTGGTCCATCAAGCTGTCTGCACTGACTGGCAGTGGCTGTCCAGGATTTAAAACAGAGGGACTCTCCCAGCCCTACCCGGAGATGCCAGACATTGAATCTGTGACCCTATGCATGCAAGGCAGGGGCTCTGTCAATGGAGCTGTGAGAATCTCATCTTGCTAAGATGCAGAATTCACAGGGTTGCATCCAAACTTCCACCAATTCTTTGTGTAGCCCTTAGCACTGCCTCCTAGCTGTCACCTTCTGGAGCAGCTTTCTGAGGGGCATGAGGCTGCAGGCAGAATTTGTGAAAACAGCCTCTCCCCTCTAGTGGGAGAGGCTCCTGGGCAGAGTACCCATGATAGTCTGGACCCATGGGAGGTTAATGAAAATTCAAGTGTGTGTGTGCGCGCGCAATGCTAGTCTTGGGGGCATGCTCAGACACTTGTCCTGTGAGGGTTTTGGGAATGAGAGGAAAATGGAGGCTGGTTATTTTGAATCAAGGTCCTATTTTGAGGCTGCTGTCCTATTCCTGTGTGGTCTGAATTCACTGGTACAGTCATACCTTGGATTCCGAACGCCCTGGAGCTTTGGCTCCCGAACGCCGCAAACCCGGAAGTGATTGTTCTTTAGCGTTCTTTTGGAAGCCAAATGTCTGACGGGGCTTCCATGGCTTCCAATTGGCTGCAGGAACTTCCTGCAGCCAACCGGAAGCCTCAATTTGGTTTTTGAACGTTTTGGAAGTCGAATGGATTCCGTTTGACTTCCAAGGTATGACTGTACCTCAAAGATGCACCGCAGCATTGTTTCCTGTATTTTTTGCAGAAAAATAATGCTAGATCCAATAGTACCCATATTGAATAAAGAGGCTTTCCTCTCCCCAAATGTGGAGATGAGATATTTCGTGTCTATTAAAGCAGCCAGTTTCCCCCCCAAGCATTTCTTAACTGGAAGAAAAACCTTCCCTGACTCTTCCTGCAGGCTCCTAAAATGGAGCAGCCTCTCGTTTCTTCCTCTGAACGAAAGCTGCAGTTGTGTCGTGCAATATAATCATAGCCCTTAAGATCCACCCAGTGTCTCTGGGGGGAACAATGCAAAACAACTGCCAAGGTTTCAGCTCGCTCTAACGCCACTCTTTTGTTAACAGGCGCTTTCGATGGAAGACCCGCCGACTATATGTTCATGCTTCTCTTTAATTGGATCTGCATAGTTGTATCCTTTTTTTATTTGCTACAGCAACATTTTGGCATGTTTGAGTTCTGCAGAGGGGTGGGAGTGGGGTGTGTGGTCCTCACCTGTGTTCAGTCACACATCCACTGCATGGCCTTAGTAGTTGTAGTAGAATTTATTAAATTTGTATAACGCCCTTCATCTGAAGATCACAGGGCGGTTCATAACGTAAAAATACAAAACAAGAACACAAAATATATAATAAAAAACAGAACCTAATACCCGCCCTCCCACAAACACATTCAAAAGGCCATAGATTGTTTAATCAGCCGAAGAGTCATATTTTCGCCTGGCAGCGCCAAATGAGCCTCCCTTGGGAGAGCATTCCACAAATGGGGAGCCACCGCAGAAAAGGCCCGTTCTCGTGTAGTGGTCCTCTTGTGGAGGGAGCACACGAAGAAGGGCCTCAGGTGATGATCACAGGGTCTGGGTTGGTTCATATGGAGAGAGGCGGTTCTTGAGCTATTGTGGTCCTGAACCATTTAAGGCTTTACAGGTCAAAGCCTGCGTTTAGTCAAGTTAATCTGCTTCACTCCTTTCTGCCCCTTTTGCACTATGATACCGTATTTTTCGCCCCATAGGACACACTTTTCCCCTCCAAAAATGAAGGGGAAATGTGTGTGCGTCCTATGTGGCGAATGCAGGCTTTCGCTGAAGCCTGGAGAGTGAGAGGGGTCGGTGCGCACCGATGCCTCTAGCTCTCCAGGCTTCAGGAAGCTATCCGTAAGCCTTGCAAGCCTGGCGGGAGGTCCCGCCGGGCACGCAAGGCTTGGGGCAGCAGCCTGCAGCCCGAAGCACGGGGCGCCCTCCGGAGGGCTCCCCATGCTTCGGGCAGGTGTGCACAATTTTTTTTATTCATTTCCCCCCAAAAACGAGGTGCGTCCTATGGGCCGGTGCGCCCTATAGGACGAAAATACGGTAATTATTAATAATAATTTTATTATTTATACCCCATCCACCTGGCTGGGTTTCCCTGGCCACTCTGGGCAGTTTCCATCACATATAAAAACATAGTAAAACGTCAAGCATTAAAAACCTCCTGATACAGGGCTGACTTCAGATGTCTTCTAAATGTTGTGTAGTTCTTTATCTCCTTGATATCTGGTGGCTTTGTGTTTGTCTGTACGTGTAGGAATAGTTGTAAGGATTGCAAGTAAAAAAAAACCTCAGAAAGATGCTGTATAAATAGTTTTATAATATGGCATCACTGGCCCTGTACTAAACCCTGATTGAGTGGCTGAGCCTTAATGAGCTTAGAGTGAAGTGTTGGGCCTGTGCCTGTCCGCTTCTTGTGTAGCTAGGGGAAGGACTTCTGCCAAGTTGAGTTTAGCTTTCGAGGAATCTTGGCTTTGCATTCTGTAAAAGAACAGTACTCCTGGCTTAAAATGACTAATGGTTTAACAGTGGCAGCTTCAGATTTGGCAACTGTGTTACACCAGGATATCTCATTTGTACCTAATGCTAAGATGGGATTCTTTGAAAGCAGAACTAAACTTTGCAGAAGTCTTCCTCCTGGTCCTGCCGGAGGAGAGGTGAGAGGGGAGCAGGCATATCCTTGGTTGCATTTGAGTCCATTGAAGCTTGCCTGCAGAACAGTAATGGCCAGTGTCTAGTATGTCCGGCTAACAGAACCTTTTCTTCTGCACTGTACTGATTCACTTGCTCTCTCACCAGCAATATTTCCACAGGCTGTTTCAAAGCCATGCTGGGGGTTTCCAGACAGATTCTGTCCAGCTCTTTTAGTCCCTTGAGTTAAATGTGACTCATCACAAGGTTGTGCTTCTTGTCTTCTGTTTTAGTTTGGTTTTCCTTAGTGAAACAATGAAAGATTACTGGTTTGGCAATGAATATGCAGGTAAGCACGTCTGTTTTCAAAGCGACCTGGCTTCTAAAGCGCCAGGTCTTTCATCTACTTGTACAGAATTCATATGGGCCAGATCAGATCAGAGTGGATTATGTGTACTGTGCATTCAATACTCTCCCATCTAAACCAGTGTGCTGGCAGGGAGAAAAAGGGTCAGTTTGTGTTTCTGAACACCTGAAAGAGCACTGAGCAAAACACTCCGCATTCCTGTTCAGCAAGTTTGGTGTGAATTTTCTGCTGATACCCAAGTGCAAAACTGTAGGAGAAATAACCCGAAGAGAAAATGGCCTGCATTCAGGTTTTAACAATACCTTGCTGCGACCCTCCATCTCTCTCAGAACATTCCCCAACCACACCCTGCCCAAGTCTGTCTGTCTGCCTGTCTGTCTGTCTGTCTCTCACACGATTGGCCTTGCTTTGCATTGAAAGGTGCCCTTGAACACTGATAATGTTTCATGTTTGCCTGGAGGACAGAGAAAGGGGTGTGGGTGGGTGTTTTGTCTACTGTTCAAAGGTAAATTTTACATTAGTCGATCTGCCTACTTCTCGCCTCTGGAGCCAACCACCATTGATATATAGCTCTCCCCTCCCACCACAGAAGGTTTGCAGCCCATTTCTGGCATACCTGTTTTGTGGATGTGTCTCTTCGGCCCCCCCGCTCCTCTCATGCAGCTGCAAGGAGAGATTGGAAGCTTTCCCTTCTGTTCTTATCTAACTGCAATTTTGCATCGTGTCCACATAGGATGTATTATGCTTTGTCTGTGGTGTGGCCGAAAGAAGCAGGTTTAGGAAGCTGACCGCAAATTAGGCATTGGACGTTGAAAATAGGGGCCAGGGCTTCTGATCTTCTCACAGGCATGCTTTGGAAGGAGAAATTACACAGACTTAAGGCTTATTCATGTAACATAGGGTTGGGAACCTCTGACCACCCAGATGACTACAACCCGCATTGTCCCTGAACATTGCCTGTGCTGACTGTGACTGATGGGAGTTGGGGAGTCCAGCAATATGTGGAAACTGCCAGTTTTCCATCGCTGGTGTAATGATGATAAACCACATCATACCCCTTGAATGCATTCTATGCAGGTGATAAGCAGTCTTACCAATGTCAACAGTGAGTGTGCCGTAGGTGCATTCCTTTTCAGCTGAAGCTGCTATAAAGCCTTTGCCCTTTGTAGGAAGAACTTCCGAGACGCGCCTGGAGCTTCAGGCAGAGTTTCCAACTGCACCCTGTTCTTCTCAAACTCAGAATCCCATACAGTGGTGCCCCGCAAGACGAATGCCTTGCAAGACGGAAAACCCGCTAGACGAAAGGGTTTTCCGTTTTGGAGGTGCTTTGCAAAACGAATTTCCTATGGGCTTGCTTCGCAAGACGAAAATGTCTTGCGAGTTCCTGCAGGTTTTTTTCCTCCCCCCCCTTTTCCCAAGCCGCTAAGCCGCTTATCAGCTGATCCGCTAAGCCGCTTAACAGCTGATCGCTAAGCCGCTTAACAGCTGATCCGCTAAGCCGCTAATCAGCTGATCCGCTAAGCCCGCAATAGCGCTAATCCGCTAATGGGCTTGCTTCGCAAGACGAAAAAACCGCAAGACGAAGAGAATCGCGGAACGGATTCTTTTCGTCTTGCGAGGCACCACTGTATTTGGGCTCTAAAGCTATAAGACCTTTTGATTTCCAGAAAGAGGGAGAGGTGTGCATTCCTGCTTTTGATTACGTTTCCACTGTGAGACTTTGAGGCTGAAACATTTCCTGGGAGTTTCATAAGAGCACCTCTTGGGATCGTATCCATGAACTCCTTGCCAGCTGCATTGGGCCCAACCTCTCCCCGCTCTCTCTGAGGGTTTCCATCTCAGGTCCTTCTAAGCCACTCGTGCCCAGTTCTCCCAAATGCATGCATCATTTTGCACTGCAGAGAAGAATCGTATTTAACTTTGCATCTAAAATAGCCAGTCAGCCTTCATTGTCTAAGACTTGTGTGTGTGTGTGTGTGTGTGTGTGTGTGTGTGTAATATAACTTTCAGGTAATTAAGCAAGCCTGGTGCTGACACCACTGTCAAACTGTCCTTGCCAATTGCACAATCACATCTCTCGGTCACATTAGCTTTTTAAAAAGATCTTGTTGAAAGTAAATCAACACCATTTTTTCTTGCGATGGAACTCATTACGCAAGAACCAACATGGATGTTATGAATAAGGAGGCCTAAAAACCTGCAGGCCCCCTGTTAGTGCTCAGTTCTGTCAGTGCAGAATCAGGAGGGGATAGCTGGACTTAATTTTAAAGCCTATTTTTATTTCTATAATTTGAGCAGACTCCTGTAATCTCGAGGGCTGCGATCCGAGGTATATTTCCATGGAAAATACACTTGGTGAGATGGCGGCAAAATCCGTGGGACTTAATTCTAGGAATAAACAAGGCTAGGAACCAAGTATTTCTCTGTGCACCAATCCTTCATCACTTGTGACCCACTAAGCTGAAGGCAGCCCACAAGCCACGTATTGTGGTTTGACTGATCTTGACAACAGGCCTTTGTATTTGCTATCTGGGACAGGCAGCAAAACCAGATTTCTCACGCCCCGGCATGCTGTCCTGTCTGGTGACAGGCTGCTTTAAGCTTGGCGGATCTTAAATTAGGGAGCCTGGGGCAAAGAGGAAAAATGCCTTTCTAAAACATTTTCTTAATGACGATGTGCTGTCAGGTGTGGAGAGACCTCTCTGTGGCAAGCATCCATGAAAGAGCCACAGCAAGCTTTGGGCTTCTCTGCTTTCTCTCCTGCTTGCTCTGGCACAGCTGTTAGAAGATCAGAAACTTCTTCATCTGTTTTATATGAACCACAGCTTAGTGTCTTGGCTGAACTCTAAGCTATGATAATTGTAACTATAGTTAGTGATAACAACTCGAGGTTATAACCACTTCTCAAATTCAAGTGACATGCTGCAGTTAATCAAAAACAGAAGGCAGGGATTTCAAACTCCCCTGTGCAACCATGTCAGGAGTGGGGAGGAGACACGCGCCAGAGTCTTGTTTCCATAATACTAAATCCAGGTTTGAAGTTACGTGCAAATTGGAGAGAACACTAAACAGGCCTCTGTGTTTCTTTTTATTCTGAGCATTCTGCAGTTGCTTAGGTCTCCTGTACCAAATCTCAATCTTTTTGTCTCTTCTCTTGCTTCCCTTGTAGCTGCTGATGATTCCCTTGATCATGTCTGTACTTTATGTTTGGGCCCAGCTGAACAGAGACATGATAGTGACATTTTGGTTTGGGACACGGTTTAAGGTAAGGCCAAAGGGCTTTCCCCTTTCCTCAAGCCTTCTGCCCATATCAAAGGAACTGCTCGCTCATTGAGGAAGGGAGACAGTTCCCCCCTGTGACTACTTGTCCCTTCCAGTTTCTTAAAGGGATACTGGCATCAGAGGAGCTCTTTTGCTGCCACTAAAGGTGTTTCACTTCCAAGCCTTTCTGCAGGGCAGCCTCGGAGTTGATATCATGTGCCTTGGCCACAAGAGACGTAGACCCATGTGTGAGATGGCAATGTCTTTATACCACATTGTATGCTCTAGAAACACCTTGCGATGCTGCAGCCAGGCATGGGCTTGTAGCAGAGCTCCTTGACCTCTACCCACCTCCCTGCTGCTACTAGCCACCTCATGTCAGATCGCCATGCTTTCTCTTGGCTGCCAGATATGTAGTTGTGGGGGCTATGCTATCATGGAATGTTAGGATTGGAGAAGGGGATTTGTCATCCTTGTCCGGTATGCAATGAGGAGGTGTACAGACAAGGAAGATATTGGCAAAGGCAATGCAGGATGGGAGGGAAAGGCAGAGTTGGGAGAGAGATTTTGTGCCAGCGCAAGGGATAGAGGAAAAAAGCTGAGGGACATTTAACTGCAACTTGGGTGTCCTGATAGCATGTTGCAACCCAGGGAGAGGTACTGTACTTCTAAAATGTGAATTACATGTCGCCGACTAGATAGAGCAAAACCTCCATAGTTGAGGGGGGAAACGTCTATATCAGCTAGACTGGTGACTGGCAGCGGCCGCCGAGACCACATAACACCGGTCTTAAAAGACCTACATTGGCTCCCAGTACGTTTCCGAGCACAATTCAGAGTGTTGGTGTTGACATTTAAAGCCCTAAACGGCCTCAGTCCAGTATACCTGAAGGAGCATCTCCACCTCCATCGTTATGCCCGGACGCTGAGGTCCAGTGCCGAGGGCCTTCTGGCGGTTCCCTCATTGCGAGAAGCAAAGCTACAGGGAACCAGGTAGAGGGCCTTCTTGGTAGTGGCGCTCGCCCTCTGGAACGCCCTCCCATCAGATGTCAAAGAGATAAACAACTACCTAACATTTAGAAGACATCTGAAGGCAGCCCTGTTCAGGGAAGTTTTTTATGTGTGACGTTTTAATGTATTTTTAATCTTTGTTGGAAGCCACCCAGAGTGGCTGGGGAAACCCAGCCAGATGGGCGGGGTACAAATAATAAATTATTATTATTACGTCATGAAATAACCATGGGGTTGTTTCCAATGAGGCGAGCAGAGCTCTGTTTGGATCAGCCTAATAGCCCACCTAGTCCAGCAGCCTGTTCTCTCAGGGGCCAGCCAGCCACTGACTTTGCCATTCTCTGCTCCTCAAATATGCTGCAAAATGGACCCCAACCCTCTGGAGCAGATTTTCAGGGTGTGCAGTGGGCTTCAGAGATGAGCAGATGGAGATGAGCTCTGTTGTGCAAGTGGAAGTCATCAACATTGGATGCAACCCCTGTACATTAAATGCTCAATAATGTATTTAGCTAGCTATATTTCTGTCAGGGACTTGTATTTGGAGAATTCTGAAGGAGGTGGAGACTAAATTGCGCTCTTCAGTTTCCTTGCTCACAGCAAGTTTGCATGTGCTCTTGTTGTCCTAGGCATGCTATCTACCGTGGGTTATCCTGGGATTCAACTATATCATTGGAGGCTCGTAAGTATTCCCAAATACCTATTTAGTATTACAGTAAATACAGTCCTTACAGTAACATGTGGCTTACTTCCATACCCCGAAGGACATCTGAAACATCTGGATAATTAAGAGGAATGTGTGTGAATGCAGTAGCCTTTTTTTGCAGTGGCAAGGAGATGCTCTTTCCCTTGCATTGCCCAGCTCTTCCACTGACCCAACCTCCAGATCTTCACTGGCAGGTTTCTCAGTGAGCAATTTCCATGGCGAAAGGTCCCAGCCATAGTACCAGCCCTGCTCAAGCTGCAGTTGCTCCTGCACGAGCAGCAGGCTCCTGTGTCCTTCCCTCTCTGAAAGAAAAGGTGAATGCGGGAAGGAAAAGAACTTCCTGTGCCCGGTTGACTCTTCCGTCTGCCTTATTTTTTAGCCTGTCCTTTGAGCATGGTAATTGCTAGGAGTTGTGGCTTTGTATGGTACATTTTTTGCTGCTATACAGGAGTATAGCAATATAGGAGTATTTTGCTGCTATATAGGAGAGTGTCAGGGGTTCAGGAGCAGAGGCAAGGGCAAGGGAGGAAACAGAGAGTGAGGGGGAGGAGGCAGAAGAAAAGATGAGTGATGACGACGACCCGAGATCTCCGAGTCTTTCCAGTGAATCAGAAGATTCACAGAAAGGAGCACCAGTGGCCAGGGCAAGGGGGGAGCCTAGGGGGACACCCCAGGAAGAAAGGGCCAGAGGGGGCTCAGAGGGGAGCAGTGGGAAACCGGGACCAGCGTCACCCACAGAGAGCAGGGGAGAGGAAGGGCGCCAGGTATCAAGCGCTGGAAGCTCACAACAGGAGGGAGGGCACGAGTCAGGAGTGGCCACACCTCCATCGGGGAGCGAAGAAACGGTCAGACGGAAAGTGGGAGGTTGGGCGCGCGCGCCAAGTTCAAATGCACAGGAAGGTGGCGCAGTGAGCAGCCCGGAAAGGGAGCCAGGTCCTAAAGCCCGGCGCAAGGAGACAGAAGGGTCCGGGGGGTCAGCGTCAGAAGAATCCCGGAAGGAAGAGACCCCGGGGGGCAGAGGGACCCAGAGAAGAACAGTCAGGCGGAAAAGGTGGAGTAAAGCCAGGGTATTAAGTTGGTGTACAGGGGGCGGAGATTCAGACGGAGCTTCGCCGGTCTAGCCATAAGACGTAGAGTTGCACGCAGCAGCTTGAGAATGGAAACTGTAACTCAATAAAGACTTTTATTTAATGATCGCTGGCTAGCGTGATCCTCTGTGAGCTAGGATCTTGAAGCAGCTCTGACAGTAAGCTCCGTCTCCAAATTGTGGGCATCTACGGCCTCGTGGAGAGGAGAGAAAGCGGGTGCCTACTAGCGAGCTCACGAATGGCAGACAACATGACGGCCGAACAGCAGATAGCGGAACTCAGAGAAGCAGTGACACGACTGAATGCCGAAATACTTGCATCCAGGAAGAGAGAGGAGGACGCAGCTGCCGCCTACAGGGATCTCCAGGTCAGGTTGGAAGTGCTTACGAAGCAAAGGCAACTGACACCCAAACCGGAGGGGATTGGGTTGGGGAGAAGAACAGGCGGTCTAGTCTCTCACTTCGATGGGAATTTACAACTGTACCCCAACTTTAAAGCAGATGTACAGTGTGCACTGCAACTGCTGGACAAAGACTTTAGAGATGAGCAAGAGAAGGTGGGATTTATCATGTCCCATTTGCATGGAGAGGCTAAAGCATGGCTGCGCAATTTGTGGAGAGATAAGGATCCAGCGCTCCAAACCGCGGATGCCTTTATTAAAGCGATGGATGGCTGTTTTTTATCCAGCATTGACGTGGATCTTGCCCGGAGGGAGGTGCATGGGCTGAAGCAAGGGAGGGCCAGCGTAAGACAGTACCAAGCCCGCTTTTTTGCTTTAGTCAGTGCCTTGGAATGGGACAGAGATTCCGCTCCAGTCAGAGATCTCTTTTGGGAAGGCTTGAGCGGCCCCGTTAAAGACGAAATTGCCAGGGGGGAGAGACCTCGGACCACGCAGGAGGTCGTGCAGAGGGCGCTGGCAGTGGGAGTGCGGCTGGAGGAACGCCCATGGGGCAGGGACGAAGGACGTGGAGGGCGCGAACCAGCGAGAGGGTTTCCCTTCGTTCCCAGGGAAGCTGCGCGTGCGCAATCCACGCCTCCGCCAGGAGGGGGAGCGGAACCGATGGAGGTGGGCGGTGCCAGGGCTCAGTCAGCAACCAGAGCCACAGCACCGGGAGCAGTCAAAGCGAAGCCTCCTAGAGGGAACAGGAAGTGTTACATCTGTGAAAATCCGCAGCACATGGCGAAAGAGTGTCCCCAGAGGCTCCACAAGCACACTGCAGGCTCAGCAATGGTGACTGCAGCAACTCAGCAAGGGGAACCACAGCAGGGAAACGACGGAGTCTGGCTGGAGAGAGAGGCACTGGGGCCCAGCCAGACGTGTCAGTGAAGCAGTCCCCAGAGATTTTGCAGCCCACAGACCCGCTCCCACCCAAACCAGTGGTGAGGCTCACCGCATCGCTCCAGCTACCCAATGGACTCACCATGGACGTGCCAATCACCATTGACTCAGGAAGCAATGCGGACTTTATAGGGCAGGACTTTGTCGACCGGCACGCTATACAGTTGCTGCCTGCCACGCTGCCCCTGCAGGTTGTCACGGTGGATGGCAGGGAGCTGCTAGGGGGGCAAGTGGTGCAGCAGACGCCACCAATGGTGATGCGACTTGGGAATCACAGGGAAATCATCAGCTTCAACGTCACTCAACTATCGGACACGCCCATTGTATTGGGCATGAGTTGGCTGGACAAGCACAGCCCGACGCTGGCGTGGTACCAGAGGCAGCTGACCTTCGGCTCTTCCTTTTGTGCTGAACACTGCATCGTGCCCCGGCAGGAAGGAGAGGAAGAGGAGTCACAGCTGCAGCTAGGCACGCTACAAGCGGTTCCCCACAAGTACGCAGAATTTTTGGAGGTTTTCTGCGAGAAGGAGGCAGACAGGCTACCCCCCCACAGACCATATGACTGCAAAATTGACCTGCTGCCGGGGGCGGCGCTGCCCAAAGGGAAGCTGTATTCCATGTCTGAGGACGAACTGCAGGAACTCAAAGAGTTCATAGATCATAATTTGGAGCGCGGTTTCATCTGAGAGTCCAAGGCAGCGGGGGGCAGTCCTGTATTCTTTGTTAAGAAGCGGGACACGCCCCAGAAAAGACTTGTAGTGGACTATCGCATCTTGAACAGTGTGACCAAGCCATCGGACTTCCCCATGCCCCGAATCGACGACCTCCTCGCTAAGGTACGCAAGGGCAGCGTGTTCACCAAGTTGGACCTGCGAGGGGCGTACAACCTCATTCGCATGCGGGAAGGAGATGAGTGGAAGACAGCCATGTTCACGCCCCTGGGCACCTACGAATATAGAGTTATGCCGTTTGGATTGCAAAATGGCTCCCACGTTTTTCAAGCTTTCATGCATCACGTGTTGGCGGGGCTCCTCTACAAGACATGCGTCTGTTTCTTGGATGACATCCTGATCTTTTCGGAATCGCAGCAGGAGCATGACAGGCACGTCAAGGAAGTGCTGAGCAGGCTACAGCAGCATAGGCTTTACGCCAAGCTGGAGAAGTGCCAATTCGACGTGACGGAGGTGGATTTCCTGGGCTACAAGTTGTCTGACAAGGGGCTCGCCATGGACAGCGCCAAGGTTCGAGCAGTGTTGGATTGGAAAAGCCCACGCAACCGGAAGGAGGTCCAACGGTTTGTCGGCTTCGCGAACTTCTATCGCAAGTTTATCAAAGGCTTTGCCATGCAGACAGCGGCCATCACGGACACGCTCAGCTCCAAGAAAAAGAAGTTCATCTGGACAGAGCAGGCGGAGCAGTCCTTTCAGGCACTCAAGCGTCTCTTCGCGTCGGAAGAGCAGCTGCTTCATGTCAACCCCAGCAGGCCGATGAGAGTGGAGACAGACGCTTCGGACAGAGCCGTGGGAGCCGTCCTGCTGCAGAAGGACCCGCAGGGGGCTTGGAGGCCGGGAGCGTTTTACTCCAGGAAGCTCAGCAAGTCGGAGCAGAATTACACCATCTGGGACAGGGAGTTGCTGGCCATTCATGCAGCATTCAAAGCGTGGCGGCACTTCCTGATCGGCGCAAAGCACACGGTGCAGGTCTGCACGGACCACAAGAATCTGGAGCACTGGCGCACGGCACAGTTCCTGAACCAGAGGCAGATACGTTGGGCTGAGTTCTTTGCGAACTTCGACTTCCGAATAGAGTATGTCCCGGGGGACACCAACATCATGGCGGATGCTCTCTCCCGTAAGCCACAGTATCTGGAGGAGGCGACGCCAGCGGCAGCCATGCACATCTTCGCACCGACGGTGTGGGCGTGCGCATCAGCGACAGTGGACCTGGATGCGGTGAGGAGAGCGCTGCAGGCTGACACCTTCGCGCGAGCCAAGATGGCAGAGGCGCAAGGAGGCGAGGCGGCGACTGGCGAGTTCCAAGTTCGCGATGGATTACTCCTTCGTAAAGGGGCCATCTACGTGCCGGGGGACGATCTTCGCGCCAAAGTACTGCAGCAGCTGCAAGACGCACCCACTGCCGGGCACTTTGGCACAGAGAAGACAATAGAATTAGTCGCCAGGGACTTCTGGTGGCCCAGAATGAGAGGGGAGGTCGCGGACTACGTGGCGAGGTGCGACACCTGCCAGAGGGCCAAACCAGTACACAGGCCGCCGGCGGGGCTGCTGGAACCGCTGCAAACACCGGGCGAACCATGGGAGAGAGTGGCCCTGGACTTTGTCACGGATCTGCCCAGCTCAAGGGGCAAGACGGCAGTGCTGGTGGTGGTGGACTTGTTCTCCAAGATGGCACATTTCATTCCGTGTGCGAAAGTGGCCACGGCGGAACAAACAGCCAAACTGTTCATAGACCACGTGTTCAAGGTTCACGGACTGCCGCGGTCTATACTGTCTGACCGGGGGCGGCAGTTCATCTCGAACTTCTGGCAGAAGCTGATGGGCTTCCTGAACGTCAAAATCAACCTGGCTTCGGCTAGACACCCGCAGACCAACGGGCAAGCGGAGCGGGTCAATGCCATCATGCAGCAGTACCTGAGATGTTATGCGAATCAACAGCCCGCGACGTGGGTGGACTACCTGCCTCTCGCCGAGTTCGCCTACAACAACACGAAGCACGTGTCCACAGGGGTCACGCCGTTCTTCGCCAACAACGGGAGGCACCCCAGAACCTTCCCGGGACTGGAAAGAATGGGGGAGGGGGAGCCGCAGACAGCAGATGCGTTCGCATTGGAGTTGCAGGAAGTCCACGATCAGCTTCGGCGGCACCTGGAGCTGGCTAAACACGCATACAAGGTGCAAGCGGACAAACACAGGAGGGTTGGCGAAGAGATCCATGTGGGAGACTGGGTCTGGTTAGCAGCCCACGCAGTGCCGGCCAGGTCGTTGGCGAAGAAGAAACTAGGGCATAAACAACTGGGGCCCTACCAAGTCGAAGAGCAGGTCAACCCGGTGGCTTTCCGGCTGAAACTTCCGGAGGGCTCCAGGATGCATCCGGTGTTCCACAGATCGGTGCTCACTCCCTACAAGGCACCTCACAGGTTTCAGGAACCAGGAACGGCACCGAGTCCGCTCCGAGAGAGAACCGAGCAAGGGGGAGTGGCACAGGTGGAGCACATCAACGAAGTCACAGAGATTTTGGACTCCAGATGGGGGGAAGAGGGGGTAGAATACTTTCTCGCCAGAGAGGGCACCCCGGCCGGTGCCAACAGCTGGGTGCCGGGCTACGCTTTAGACGAACCTCTGCTCAAAGAAGAGTTTCATGCCCTCTTCCCACATAGGCCCATGCCAGCAGACTTTTTCGACGACTGGCTTTTCACGCCCACGCTTTCAGCCAGCACGTTCCAGGGGTTCGACTCGGACGAGGAACCGACACGAAACGCCCGTTCCCCGGAGGGGTCACCCTCGGGATCTGCTTCAGAACCATCGTATTGGTGGGACGATAGACCAGAGGAGCAGTGGCGCAGAAAGTGGCTGGAGGGTCCAGGACGAGCAACGTCCCCAGAAGGAAACGAGGGAGAGACGGACATGGACATATTCGGGGACGACCCGGGGTTCGAGCACGGCGGCACAGAGATGGAAGCGGAGGTGACCGTCGTCGACGAGAGCAGGGAGGAAGAACCGGAAGACTTCAGATGGAGGCCCGCCACGGGACGCGAACTGTATCCGACATTCGTCCCCCTGACACGGCAGCACCCAGCTCCCGCACCGGACGGAGGGGAGGGGGGAAGAGGGGGCTTCGAGGGGGGGATGGATGTCAGGGGTTCAGGAGCAGAGGCAAGGGCAAGGGAGGAAACAGAGAGTGAGGGGGAGGAGGCAGAAGAAAAGATGAGTGATGACGACGACCCGAGATCTCCGAGTCTTTCCAGTGAATCAGAAGATTCACAGAAAGGAGCACCAGTGGCCAGGGCAAGGGGGGAGCCTAGGGGGACACCCCAGGAAGAAAGGGCCAGAGGGGGCTCAGAGGGGAGCAGTGGGAAACCGGGACCAGCGTCACCCACAGAGAGCAGGGGAGAGGAAGGGCGCCAGGTATCAAGCGCTGGAAGCTCACAACAGGAGGGAGGGCACGAGTCAGGAGTGGCCACACCTCCATCGGGGAGCGAAGAAACGGTCAGACGGAAAGTGGGAGGTTGGGCGCGCGCGCCAAGTTCAAATGCACAGGAAGGTGGCGCAGTGAGCAGCCCGGAAAGGGAGCCAGGTCCTAAAGCCCGGCGCAAGGAGACAGAAGGGTCCGGGGGGTCAGCGTCAGAAGAATCCCGGAAGGAAGAGACCCCGGGGGGCAGAGGGACCCAGAGAAGAACAGTCAGGCGGAAAAGGTGGAGTAAAGCCAGGGTATTAAGTTGGTGTACAGGGGGCGGAGATTCAGACGGAGCTTCGCCGGTCTAGCCATAAGACGTAGAGTTGCACGCAGCAGCTTGAGAATGGAAACTGTAACTCAATAAAGACTTTTATTTAATGATCGCTGGCTAGCGTGATCCTCTGTGAGCTAGGATCTTGAAGCAGCTCTGACAGAGAGTCAGCGTGGTTCAGTGGTTAAGAGCGGTGGACTCGTAATCTGGTGAACCGGGTTCGCTTCCCCGCTCCTCCACATGCTGCTGCTGGGTGACCTTGGGCTAGTCACACTTCTCTGAAGTCTTTCAGCCCAACTCACCTCACAGAGGGGAGGAAGGGAAAGGACATTGTTAGCCGCTTTGATACTCCTTCGGGTAGTGATAAAGCGGGATATCAAATCCAAACTCCTCCTCCACTTAGGGATAGGAGCCCAAAGCTGCCCTTTCCTCTAGCCCCAGCTTAGTCTCCTTCGTTGTATGTCAGGGCAACCAAGGTTCGGTGTGTATAGATTGCCTTCAGGTCGGCAGCAGAAAATGCTTTACTACAGAATTGTTCAACATTGACCCCATTCTCTTCTCCCTGCAGTATCATCAATGAGCTGATTGGCAACCTGGTTGGCCACCTGTACTTTTTCTTAATGTTTAAATATCCAATAGACTTGGGAGGAAGAAATTTCCTATCAACGCCTCAGTTCCTGTAAGTTGTTTTAAAAGGTTTTCACTGTTTTTAAAAGGAAAATCAGGTTGCTTATTAGGAAACATTTGAGTTATCCTATTTGAAAAAAGGGTTTATAACAGTGATAGCTAGAGAATTTAGGTGACCCAAGCAAGCTTTTCCAGTTTGCTGGATCTATGATGGGGTCTTCCACATTTATCAGAGCATGCATCTCTGACAGCGAAACGAATAAGGAAAGCTTTTCAACTGAAACTTTTAGAAGCCATGAATCGAAGAGGAGGAAGGGGGAAGATGACAATAGACTTGTAAAATGAAGTTTGAAAACAAGTAATTCAACTTAAACTGGCTTACACATGCTTACTCAAAAATGTCTTTCTGAATTAACGTGGGGAGGAAGCAGCAGCAGAGATACATTTCAGACATCGCGATATATCAGCATATACCAATATTTAGCTGTTGATATATCACAATGTTGAAAACCAGATATTGTCCAGTCCTTGATGCAAGCACACATACTCACAATCTCTCTCTCTCAGAAAACATATTGGTTCTATCCCAGTTCAAAGCCAAAGAGTGGGATACATCCACACCGTTTCGAGGAGAGAAATAATTGCTGTATCTCTTTAAGAGAGCTGCCTAGCACTTCCTGGAACCCATAGGTGACACATTTGCAGTTGCGGCCAAATGTGACAGATCGTCCATTTTTAAACTGGGGCATTTAGCACTTCTTAATGTATTAATAAGGGACGCAGGTGGCGCTGTGGGTTAAACCACAGAGCCTAGGACTTGCCGATCAGAAGGTTGGTGGTTCGAATCCCTGCGACGGGGTGAGCTCCTGTTGCTCGGTCCTTGCTCCTGCCAACCTAGCAGTTCAAAAGCACGTCAAAGTGCAAGTAGATAAATAGGTACCGCTCCGGCGGGAGGTTAAATGGTGTTTCCGTGCGCTGCTCTGGTTCGCCAGAAGCAGCTTAGTCATGCTGGCCACATGACCCGGAAGCTGGACGCCGGCTCCCTCGGCGAATAAAGCGAGATGAGCGCCGCAACCCCAGAGTCAGCCACGACTGGACCTAATGGTCAGGGGTCCCTTTACTTTTAATGTATTAATATGCAATGCTTTCCCTCCCACTAAGCTAGGAAGGGCAATGCTTTTGAGATCTGAGTGTTTGATAAAAGAATGTAAACTGTCAAAAAGAGCTTCAGACTTATTAGGGGGTCTGCCAAAACAGTCCCAATTAGGTTAAAACTGCACTCGAAGGGGCAGGGTGGGATTGAACAGTATCTTAGTCATATGTCATCCAATCATTTTCCTGTTTGGCCAGCTTATAGCTCTTACTGTGTAGATTCTACACGCACAATGCCACAAAGCTGGAACTAGTCCTGATTTCAGAAAGACCAGGCATTTCTGAACGGCTCTTTTGCTTGGCCCCCAGGTACCACTGGCTGCCGAACAGGAGAGGAGGAGTCTCTGGATTTGGGGTGCCCCCCGCCAGCATGCGCAGGCCTGCAGAGAACCGCCAGGGCGAAGGGAGACACAACTGGGGCCAGGGTTTCCGGCTGGGCGATCAGTGAAAGAACTTCCTGCTTTTTCTCTTCTTCTTTTTTTCCTTTTTATGTGTGCGGGACATCTTCAACCATTCACGGGAATGGCTCCTACTGAGGAGTGTACTCAAGAACTGGGTTTGCTCGAGGGCAATTGGGTCTGGCCCATTAAGAAATCTTAACTTTTTCTTTTCGTTCCTGGTGGAAGATGACACAACGGAAGGCACAAGATAGATTTTACTCCAGGCTGTTGAATAGTGCTCAACTCAGTGCTGCCATTAAAAAAAAAAAAAAAAGAACACACATTTTTAATATTGTCTAGCACAGTGTATTTTCTTTTACCAACCTCTCCTCAGGTGAATTTATGTTGTTGCATCTGAATTTCAGGCCTTTCTTTGTGTAAGAGCCCTACAGAGTCCAGTAAGAATCTACTCCTTGGGTCATAGAATTGTCCAACACAGTAACTGGTTTAAAAAAAGGGTTACTTCAGAGTTTGTTGTAATACTAACTAGCAGGAGGTCTTCGGGTATTGATAACTATGTTGGTATTTATTTAGCAGGAACAGAGCCTAAAATTTCCTGTGTAAGGCATCAGATATGTGTTTTGACTGGAGGAGATGCGAACCTAGGCCACTGAGGCAGAGTGCTAGCTCTCTCTTGGGAAATTTTTGCTGCGGCCATCTAAATGCCTCTGCCTCTTCAGCTGTAGATTGGGTGCACTTTAATGCCAGTCCTGTGCACACACTCACTTGGTGGGGCTTACTTCCGAGTAAATAACACGCATAGGACCGAGACAAAACTCAGTTCTTTGGAATCTGTAAGGTAATCACGCTTGGGTTTGTATCTTGTAATGGGGAAGGCAAGCCATGAAAAACAAAGTTGGAGGGTTAGCAAAAATTATTTAGTGCTTTCAAACAAGACTCCCGACCAACCGGTGCTTCAACATTTCTCATTCTGGAAGAAAATTTGGGTACCTGCGGATGTTCAGTAGTAACCTTCATTGCAAGTTAAGCTGCTCGATTATAATACGAGTAATGGGTATCAAACGACTGATGACTGTTTTATGTGGGGTGACACTGGAGATATTTGGATAGAGGGAGAAAGCAGACCTAACCTTGTCCTCCCAATCCGCTGGTTCGTCCCTCTTCCTCCTTCTCTCCCCCATCCCCAAGAAAACCACACCAGGTTGTGCTTACCTGTGTTCCCACCTGTAAAATGGGACTGCAAAACATTTCATCCAGCTGCGCAAAGTAGGCACTCTTTCCATAGCACTGCAAACATGGAAAGTGCTGTAGAAGTGATTATGAATGCTTTGGGTTGCAATTGCTACTGATATTTCTCCATGCATCAAAGGTGTAGCCAATGGGGCACCCTCGAGATGTTGTCGGGCCCTCATCAGGGCCAACTGCATTTGGAGGGCATTGTGTTGTCTATCCTTGATCTGTGTATATTTGTCTACTCAACTGGGGTGGGGTGGGGTTGGCGAGAGAGCGATATTTTCACCAGATTTTGCTTTCCCAGAGGTGTGAACCCACTGCGGCAGTCTTCATTGAGGAAAACAGAAACCTTGCAATTATGCGTCTTGATAGTGGAAAAACGTATAGATTAAGAAATCATTTAGCAGTGTCCTCATGGTAATAAACCTTCCGGTGGCTCTTGCTTGATTTGAAAATACATATTTGTAATAAAAAAGATGGCATTTCCCCAAGGCCATAATGTATTTGTCATTAATTCTGGCTTGTAGCACGTGGGAACCCAAAGTCCTATAGCATATTGTCATGAATTAATCCTGGTGGTTTTGTGAATTGGCTGTCCCCATGTGCACGGTGACAGTATAGCTTTGCTTGCTGTTCATTCACACAACAGTTCCATTGGCAAAGAGTCAAGCAGCTTCTTAACATTGCACTCTAGGCTTGCCTCTTCAGCAGTGGGAACAGTTGTACCGAAACCAGAAAGCAAAAGTTTCAGCTGTGTATGCAGTTCTTTGCCCAAGGCTGCTTGTTCTCTTTTCGTACTGTGTAAATTTTGAATGTTACCCCAACCCAGGTTCTAAAAACAGGATCTCATTGTGAATACTTCTAAGGATTGGGATTTTGTCTTCTCCGCATTCTAGGAGAAATTGGTCTCTGTATTGCGTGAGGTATTGTGGTTGGTCTGTACAAAAAGCTGAGTTTCTCCCAAAGACCATTCTGTAGAATGGAACACTGGATTACAACCAAAGTGAAATCCATGAACAGACATGACTAATTTGGGTCCATTAATTCTGATGAGTCTACTCTGAGTCAAATCTAATTGGCTACAACCCCATAGCTATACTGATCATAGAGCTAATCAACGCATCCATTTTAAGCCCGAGGTGCAGCCAACTTCATAATGTAGGTGGGAAATCGCAGCTCTGAATATATTCTTATGTAGGAAGTACTCTATGAAGGGGAAGAGGGAGTAAGAATAGCTTTCCATAGCTTTAATAATTGCTCCTTGGCAAGCTAGCATTCCAAAGCCAGGGATATTTTGGGGTCTTTGTGAAGGTGGAGGAATCCACTCATTCAGTTCTCCGCCTCTGTTGGAAATACTACTACTTCTGAATGGTGTAGCATGGCTCTAATTTAGGAGATCTCTTGCACTGTTTTAGCAGATCCATTCCCCCAATGCTGAATGGCAGCAGCCCTGCCGCAGCTGAAGAGACCTGCCAATCTTGTGTAGCCAACAAGGACCATTATTAAGCTTGCATTGCACAGCTTCTCATTTGAACCCTGGTAGCAGAAAGGGGAAAGCAACACCCCTCATCTGCTTGCAGCGGTTGCTGATGCTCAAAGAACCAAGCATGTTTTTAAAGGGAACCTGTAGCTTGGCTCTTAAGCCACGAGGATTGCTGTCCTACCAACCCAAGCTCCCAGTTCTGCAGGAAGCTGCCAGGTCATCCTGAACGGAGCAATGATTTCCACCCCTTTTACAAGTAGAAAACACACCAGAGGAGAAGAGAAGGGGGCAGGTTCGGTGTCTGAAATTTCTGTCCATAATCTTAAAGCAAAAGTCAGATATTCAGGAAGGGCATATGGTACAGCAATTGTACCATGTTGCAGTGCATGTGAGGGGTGGCTTGATTAGCGAACACCTAAGCCAGTGACATTCTCCTTTTCCTCCCTGAGCCCATGTTGATTTTTGCAGTGGTCTAGTCTTGTGGAAGACCAGTTCTTCTCAAAGCTGGATTTGGCTATCAGAATGTGTCCCTGCATCTCTGCACATGGGGAACACAGCAGGAAGACTTCTAGCCTGCCTTCTCACTAGCATGTTAGCCGTCCACATGCAACTGGTGCATATCCAAGCCTGGTGTCCATCCTAGATCAATACCATGTGCCTTTCCTGGATGTTAAAAGCTCACTTTTGGGCACTTCGCACTACTTTGGTTTTTGTTCACCCGAAGCACTTTTCCCTCCTCACTCTCAAACTGCCACCGGCAGCTTCTGTTACGAAATGAGTACTTCTTTTTGTAGATATTTTCTCTTTTTGTAACCATTTTTTTTTTTTTTTGGTTCTTGGCAAAGTTTTAAATTAAAGATGTAAAACTCTAGAAACCTGTCTGACACTGAATTTGTTTCCGCTTTGCATGCCTTCAACTTCACTGTGCAACCACAAGAGAGCTTTGTAGGTGCTCCCCTAGCCGTAAATTGAATACCGCTGTTCTCACAAAGCGGTAAAAATTCCTACAGGGCAGATGATTATTGTTGCCGACTTCTCAGGGAGCTCTTCCTACATTGTGTCTTGGTCAACCTTGCAAAACGTCCTATGTAGCCAGTAGTAATATCGGGTCATTAAAAGATGCATTGTCTAAGGCCATCTTTGAGCAATTCCGGCATTGCTCCATCTGTAAAGGTAAAGGGACCCCTGACCATTAGGTCCAGTCGTGACCGACTCTGGGGTTGTGGCGCTCATCTCGCTTTACTGGCCGAGGGTGCCGGCGTACAGCTTCCGGGTCATGTGGCCAGCATGACTAAGCTGCTTCTGGCAAACCAGAGCAGCGCACGGAAACACCGTTTACCTTCCCGCCAGAGTGGTACCTATTTATCTACTTGCACTTTGATGTGCTTTCGAACTGCTAGGTTGGCAGGAGCAGGGACCGAGCAACGGGAGCTCACCTCGTCGTGAGGATTCGAACCACTGACCTTCTGATCGGCAAGTCCTAGGCTCTGTGGTTTAACCCACAGCGCCACCTGTGTCCCATCTGTAGGCTGTGAGAAAAACCCTTCCTAGTGCCAAGCCTATGGATGAGAGGACATGTGGCAGTATCCATAGAATTCCTTCCACAGGTGCAATTCAGCATCCTTTTCTGTGCCCGCTCCCAATCCTGGGCAGGAGCAAAAGAAGGATGTACCTTCGTATAGTAAGCTAGTTTCTTCACATGCTCCTCTACCTTCCATTCAGGCAAGCAAGAAGCACCAGTGTTTAAGGAAATATTCTAACCAGGCAGAGACTCTCAAGAGGGTGCAAAGCAAGGCAAGGGGGAGAGTACATGACCCAGAGATTGGTCCAGACAGGCGGGGAAGCCTCCATTTGGCCCTTTTGCCTGAGGTTCCCCATTCACGATGCAAAACATGCCTGGGAAACCTCTGGCCTGCCAGGCCTCCACCTGTCCAAGCTCCAATCCGCACCCTAAATTTCACCCTGCTTGCTGCATGCTGGGTGACGAAGTTGAGACCTCCTTGCATGCTAGACTGAGGGTGAAAATTGGTCCTTTCTCATTCATCATCCGATTGGAAACTTGGTGTTTGTGCACTTGAGGGGTGTGTGGGTGTGTCTATTTTAAGGGTGTGCGCACATCCATTTTCCATCCCTGCCCATTTTCTCCCAAGGCAATGGAAGCCCAAGAGAGGGGAAAAAGGTTCTTCCCTCTGACTATAGAGAATGATAGCAGTGGGATTTCAATGTCTCTGAATCCAGCTGGCAAAATAATGGCTGTGAATGACAGTGGGCCTTGCTTCTTCCCGGATAACTTTCTTTAAGCTGCCACTCAGCATTCAAGAGCAGGCATGCTATGCTGTATTTAGAGCTACTTAGCAGCGTGAGGAAGATGTTGCATTTTAAAAAAAGAAAGAGAGACAAGAGGAAAAGCTTACCAAAAACATTAAAGCCTTTGTTTTACTGAGTTACAACAAACAAGCAAAAAGTTAGAAAAGTGTTTTGTTTTAATTCAAACTCCCTAGCAATTAGATTTGTGCAGTGTATGTTGGGATAGGAAATGGATCCGTCTCTCCAAACCAAAGCAACTTCACCATTTGACCTCTACCCAATAAGACAGTTCGTCCCCTCTCTCAGCAGTTATTTGGAGAACAAAAGTGCATTCTGAGGACCTAGAAACAAAGGAAAGATGTAGTGGCTGAGGGTTCAAGAAACTAGAGCACCTAAGGCTGACAAAAATAAGTCTCTGTATTTGCACCAAACAAAGAATTGTGAGCAAGTTCGGTTATTAAGAAGCTTAAGCCCTCCATTGTAAAGTCATTTTTTTTTTAAAGGATTGTACTACATGTAGTAGAAAAAGGTGCTTAGAACAAGCAAAGGCGTACTGTCAACAACTCTGGAGCTCCATAATCCAGACGTTTTGGCAAACGGTGAAATGCAGGATGCGTTAAAGAGATCGGCTGTCTCTCCCGGACAAATGTTTTTGCTGCTTTTCCTGCATGCAGAGGAACAAAAGGGAGCCAACTGCAAATAAAAGGCTCTTGAGAAAGTCACAACGAGCAGCTAGCCCTAGACTGAACAGGTAAAAATGTGTTGAGGTGGGTAAACTCTCTCTGCGAAAATAGAAACACATCTTTAGAAACATGTGCAGGAGGCCAAAAAGGTTTCCAAGTCGTCATGGATGTAGACGCAGCGGTAACTAATTTTCAAGAAAACCGATAAGCCAAACCGCGACCTCGAGATGGCAATGAGAATCCACAGCGTACGCACCAGCCAGGAAAGGCAGCGAGACGTCTCCACGTTGTACATGGGAAGTTACAATGGGAGGCAAGCAAGTTGGACGCTGCGGGGAAAAACCTATGTACAAGGGCCCTTGTTAGAAAAGTCCCCTGGTGGAAATTTGGCACTGTGAGATCTGTAGTGATGCTCCCAGGACTGTCCTTTCTCCACCGCAACTGTACCCACGTGCCTTGAACCGGGAGGCAAAACCCGTTGGATTTCCCTGCTTCCGAAGATCCTGCTTGCTCCCAGGGTCAGTGACGGCGTACTCCCAAAGAGTGGAAAGATAGGTCTAGAAAGCTGAATGATATGCCTATGACAGATAAACAAACGAGTGTACGGAATACGGTTATTATTTTGCAAAACGGAACATAGTTTGCACACCAGCAACAATCCTCCTTTGTGCTTTTTGGCTGTGGGGCACTAACTCAGGTGCATGAAATTCAATGGGTCTTCTTACCTGGATTGAAACAAATATAGTTGTGTGTGTAGGGGAAGGCTTTGGAGTGGCTGGATTCATTTAGACATGCCCATAATTTTATTTATTTTTGCAGGGGAGGGTGTATGCCAGCCCTGGAAGTGACATACTTAATTTCCCCTTGCACCAAGACCAGTGGTAAGGATTTAAAAACAAGCAAACAAGGGCTGGAGCCCATAAAAAGCTTCCGTAAAAGTCGTCCCAGCTCATCTTCATTCTCCCTTACTGGGTTGCTCTGCCTGGCTGCAAATCTACACACACTTACCTGGGAATTAA